TCTGGACAGCTTAGTTTGACTTCTCAGTCTCCTTATTTTATTAGTATTGCATCTTAGCTCTGTGAAGGAGACAATTTATAACCTCTAAACAGATTACGAACATGCAGATAATATTTCACTGTGTCAGGTCAGCTGCTGGAATGTGATTGCAGTGATAGTAAAGCTGCAGCTAACCACCCAACCCAGCGCCAATTACTGACAAAGGAGTATTGGAGGTCACAGCGGTGCAAATTGTGTTAGATTTCTGAGTGCCGCTAATCAAGTCAGGTCTTGTCGCTCACTAAAATGAGGTTGTTTCAGGTGCATTCTTAATTCTCTTATGTTCAYATTTGCTCACCCTTGATCTGTCAAGTTCCCTTGTTCAATCACTTTTTTCCATCTCAATCACCTTATTCCTTCAAGTGCATTTCGTCCTGCCAAACTCACACAGACACACACACACACGACACAACATGACACACAGCCTCACACCTCTCCAGGTGACAGCGATGTGACAGTGWGACACCACCTTGCCTGATGAGGAATGATGAGAGCTGGAAACAAATGAAAATAAAACGTCTAATTATGTCAGAGACGTCTTGACGCTACATCACTGCTAAAACACATTTAAAATAACATCCAGCAAGTCTTACGCTGACACACACACATACACACACACACAGCAGGCGCCGGTGACGGATGGAGGGTTCTGCTGCAAGCGCTCAGTCAGGCTGTCAGGGCAGTGGCTGCTGCTGCTTCTGTCATTGACTTAAAAGGGCATCAAGGAGCCATGTGTGGGACATTACCGAGGCCGAGGGGAAACTGCTGGGCTGCAGCATAAAGACACTTTCAATGAGGCTGACTTAGGCTCCTATCGAGGGGCTATTATTCAAGACAGTATCCTCCCACCGCCCACTGAACCATCTGTCGATCCAAAGTTTTTAGCAAGTTAAAAAACACAATTCCGAGCAGTCCCACGGAGTATTTTACTGTATATACAGAGACTAAAAGGAGAAATAGAACTGGAAAGACAAGCTGCTGYAAAGAATTAGAAAGTATATTGAAAACACACACTAATCCCAGAGCTAAAAACAGTGTTTCGTATTTCCTTGCTGGAGGAATCAGTCTTGAAAGAAAGAAAATAGATTGACTACAGATCTGATTCTGGCATCAGTTTGATACAAACATCTGCAGTCAACTTAAAAATCAACTAAAAACAACTTCACTGCTGATTGGGTTACAGTGATATGGCAAAACTTYCAAGATATTAAAATACAAATATTACTTTACATTTGAATTTCAAAAGTTATGACTCAAGAAATATTTTTCTCTTTAGTAAGGGGTCTGTAATGAGTAATCCTTCCAAAGATTAGATCAAAAGTGGGGGACGTGAATGAATGCAAACAAAATACTGTCTCCTCCCTTTCCCAGACATTTCATAGCAGAACACAGACACAAACCTCTACTTCAGTCTAGTAAAAATACTCGAGCATCAGATGGATCTGAAGTAAACACACTTCCTGACCAGCTGGATTCAAGGAAAACACACTCTGTGTCCAGATGGAGCACTCATAAGCTACACCTGTTGAACCTGGAAAATACACACTTACATCTTCATATAATCATAATATATTATCCTTCAAGTGTGGGGGAAAACAAAACAAAATAAATAAATAAATCAACAACAAAGAAATACTCTAAGAATCCAAAAGAACTGTTGTTTTGTTTTTCTTCTTTTTTTAGCGTCTAACAGGCTGATAAAGTCTGATAAAACAGTGGCAGTCCTATCAGGATCACAAGGTGTGTTTAAGCATCAAACAACGCTCTGCAGGACTGCCAAGAATGAGCTCCACTTTCTCTGGATGTGTAGACGCAGTACAGATGGATGAGTGGTCGCTATTATTAGCAAAAACTTGTGAATATTTATCCCAACCAAAGCTGTGAAGATTCATGATTATTGTGAGATTTTCACAGTTGATGTTTTTTTTTTTTTTTGTGGAAAAATATCTTCAGCTATAACATGAAGTACATTTTGTCTGATCCAAGCAGTTCACCTTGATAAATAACTCTTTGTATTGGTCTCTGATGAACAATAAGTACTTGTAAAAGTCAAAACACGTGAATTCTGCACTTTTAAGTGTCACTTTAGGTGCTAACTGGAGGAGCAACAGTAACCGTTCACAGTACAGCTTGCTACAGTTGTGAAAAAAAAAGACTAAATGCCTACTTCAATTCTGCCATTTTAAACTTCAGGACATAATAAAACTGATGTGATCTTTATTTTTATCTGATCTAACTTTATTTAATTATAATGTCAATTGTACAAAAACACCCGTGTCTTTATTTGTTAAAGGGAAACAATGCCAAAATGGAAAAATTGTGTGTGAAAATCAAATCCAGTGATTACTGCTTCTACAAGATTTGTAAGGGAATGTAGTGCTGATCAAATGTACTTCAATGACTTAACTGATCCCTCTGAATACCTCTGTTATAGGAGGAATTGTGGTAGGTCTGTGCTCTGGGGCATACAGATGTGTAATAACACATCACCAAGAAGGAAACACATTAGCAGTGAACTTAGAGAAGCAGCTGTTGCTGCCCGTCAATTTAGAAAAGTTATAAGATAATTTTCAAACAACTTAAAGTTCATCGTTCTACTGTGGAAAATATGATTCACACATAGAAAACATTTCAGACAGCTGCCTACTGTGATACTCCATGAACCCAACATGTAGCTGTTTGTTCTTCAACTTCTCAGTAGAGCAACGGATTCTAGTGAGACCATATATCTGACAGCTGAGGTCTGGACCCAACTGGGTCATGATACAACAAGACAACGATCCAAGACAAAGCAGCTAACGTATAATGAAACATGTCAAAATGAAACGAATCAAGGGGCTGCGATGGACGAGAACTTTCACCTGACTGAGGTTTAGACTTTAAAGTGCCTGTGACATGCAGATGCTCCAATTACAAAAAGTCAAAGAAAACAGCTATACCAGCGGTGCCCAAACATTTTCCCCGAGGGGGCCAAAATGAAAATCTATCCAGGACTGTGGGCCAAATGCAGTAATATAATACATGAAATACAAATACTTTTTAAAAAGTAAAGTCCTTTATTTTTAACGATTAAGCTATGCAATGGCCCTCTTTTGTTTTAGTCTGGGCACTTGGAGAAAGTCTGCCATACTCTCAAGTAGCAAAGGCTCATGGGGAATTTCATAAAATGATAAAATATGAGTTTTTGTGGCCTTGTAAAGTGTGCAAATCTACATGTGGCGTTAAATCTGATCTAAATATTTCTTGTCATTTCATGTTTCATTTTTAATCTTATAATCAAAGATAAAGTCACCACCATGAACGAAAACTACCTTCACTACAGCCCTTTTACATAGTCGTTTGACCAATGGAAATACTGTGTTTCTACTTAAGAAAACAGGTTACAACCTTGTAACTTTGGCAACTGTTGGTGGGCCAAATAAAATGGCTTGGAGGGCCAAATTTGGCCCGCGGGCCCCACTTTGGGCTCCTCTGAGCTATACGTAAGGGCTGCACGGTACAGTATATGCGATAGACGGAAGAAACGGTATGAAGTTGGCCTACGGTAGAAATTTATCCTCTACCGTCATATCGTCATTACGTCATCGCACCTGTGTGAACAGGGCCGCGAGTGCAGAGACAACTGAGCAGGAGTTTGAAATATAATGAAGAAATTCTAGCGCTTTAAAACACATATAGAGAGAATAAATCCTCTAAATTTCCTCCTCTCGCTGTTGAAAAGTTATGTCGTGTKGCAGGATCACTTCCTCCATCTCCTCTCCTCTCCTCTCGTCTCGCTGCACGTCGCGCAGAGCGAAGCTTTAACAACTGTAGTTTTTCACACCCAATTGTCGGAGAAAAAAATGTTTATTTATTTTTACCCACAGAGATTATTAAAAAAAAAAGACGTGGACGTTCGTTCAGTCGTAAATCCGTCTTGCTAATGTAAAGTCGGCTTCTGCTCTGATGATGAAGATGATGAAGATGAGCGTGCAGCAGAGCAGCAGCTGATAAGTTCAGCAGGCAGAAGCTCATTGTTTGGCAGGCAGACATTAAAGTAAAAATGTTGGGTTTGATTAAGATTACAGTTTTCTGCAAAAAATGCTCTAAAAATTACATTATCTTAACATTTTATGATAATTTTCTACCGCGATATACAGTATACAGTTATGGTGAAGGGGTTCAATTTATACCGTGGTATGAATTTGAGGTCATACCACCCAGCCCTAGCTAGATGTGTAAGAAACTTGGTATAATCCACACGATTTTATCCATTTTGTCACATAAGTGGCCGATTTTCTTTTGATCTTGACTCAGCCAAAGTGAAACAGGAAGTGATAAGGGGGACACTTTAAGAAAGAAAACTCCCTCGTCTTTTTTTTTTTTTTTGGAACAATATTATTTTCACTTTGACTCTTCATCATCCCTCTGATAAAAACTACAAATCTAAAGAAATCAGATTATTCTTTACAGTCTGTGTTGTTAGCTGTTGTAGCAGCTCACAAGCAGACATTYCGCTTTGACATCACTTCCTGTTTCTTCACATACAAATATCTCAACACCTGTTGGTCTCAGCGGCGTGAATCTTTTTAGCAGTATGTTATCAATGTTGACTTTACAAAAACGCATTCATATTTATGATAACAATTTGATGTCACAGGCGCGTTAAATGCTCCACTGTGGGAGGCAAAAAAGCAAAGGTTTCTGCAAAATCTCAAAGAACTGAAGCAACACTGTAAAGAAGAGTGGGCCTACTTCAAGTGACTGCTGTTAAAAGAGATTCTACAGAGTTCAATTTAGTTTTTCAAACATAGKTTTTTCTTCATTTTGGCTTCATTTTGTTTAATAACTAATATATGTTTCTGTACACTTGGGTTTTGAACAATTTGGGAACCACCACTAGTTTTCACCATCTCCTGATATATAAAGCCTTAACATTTAAAGAGGGTGGCCTTTCTTTTCTGCATGGCTGTGTGTCTCACCGGTATGTGTCCTGTAGTGGTCCTTCATGGCTGACAGGTTGAGGAAGGAATAGTGGCAGGACGGCCAGACGCACTTGTATGGTTTCTCTCCGTTGTGCAGCTTCATGTGGTTGTTCAAGGCCCACTTTTCACTGAAGGTGCGGTCACACAGCTCGCATTCAAACTTCCTGCAGGAGAATTGAGGAATAAGAGGGGTTAGGAGGAGAGAAATGAGTAGGAGTGAGGGGAAAAAAGAAAGAGTTATTTACTGATCCAAAGATGACATAAAATGCTGGAAAATCCACCCAGTGAGGGAGGAAATGAAGGTTGCTGGGTGCTCACACTCACGGGTGGATTCTGTATATGTACGGCTACACACACACACACGCACACACACACACACACACACACACACACACACACACACACACTGCAGGGCCACTGGGGAGAATAGAGTTCACCTGTCCAGTGTCCCCAACCACTTAGCCAAGGCTAAATGAACAGTAGCAACATTTTACCTCCTGCTTCTCCCTTCAGACTCTTATATCAGAGCTTCCCCTCTGTCCAAAAAAAAACCCCTCTTCTTTTATGGCCAGCATCAGTAGTTATCTAGCTTTAGATAGTCAGGATCAATTCAGGGCCGATTCACTGTTTGCTGCTTGTGGTTTTCTCCTCTTTTAAGGAACAGTGTAAAACTGTGAATATGAATGCCATTTTGTCTTTGCTGCAGACATCTGTTTGTGACAGCTACAGTATGAGCCAACAGAAGCTGTTTTTTTATCTTCTGTTTAATCGGTGTGGAGGATTGTTTGCACCTATAGTCATCTGCTGCATCATTTGGCCTCAAATAGTAAAAAGCTGTGCTTCAATCAATCTTTACCCTGGTGCTAGAGTTTAGGTGCAGAATGACTACATACACAAATTAAGTATTTTTTTCTTTTTTTCTTGAGGGGGGGGGGGGKGCATTTGTCTTGCAGTGCAGGCCATGTTTTTCTAGGGAAGGTGGCTGTCTTTAAGTCCTAATTGTGTCAGTTAGATCCTGCTGTATCATAGCGAGCAGACACTCACCTGAACAAATAATGAGTCGGAGCAGCATGTAGCATGTGTCTGAATCAATAATTCAAACTCATACAGCTTTTTTTACTGCGCTGGAATTAAATATTAAGCGGAGAACGAGTATCGGCTTTTGTATCAAATCTAAATGCTCCTTAAAAACAAATCTAAATGTAAAGATGAAAACATGCAACAGGTGAGGGGACATTTGAAGCCGTTAAAGAAAGAAGAATTGAGTTGCTTTCATTACTTAAAGCTCAAATACATATCACTCTCATCGTTTGACCAACAGATGTCTGCATCTGTACTTCCTTCTCTCTCCATCCTCCCTGCAGTATTTATAGAACAGCTTGCTGCCCGTGCTGCCATCGGAGCGGTAAATAAGATGAGTGAGGAGATGCTATCTTTTATTGTAAGCTTTATGAACAACACTCCGGCTTTATGAACTAAACGGSCCGTTGTTTATCATGGGCGTAATCACAAAGTCAGGCGGGCGGGCCTTGACGTGGGCATTCTGGGACAGAGACAAAAACAAAAAATAAAAATAAAAAAGGCGAGTGAGAAAAGAAAGCCAAACTAAAAGGAGAAAAGATGGAGGAGTCGGGGCTGACAGAGTCAGTGGGGTTTTTTGTAAGGATGAGAGGAAGGTTTGCATCTGTTTTTATTGGATGAGATGGAGTGCTTTGATCTTGTCCCTGCATGTCAGATCCCGTCACGATCCACCGTCTCGCCCATACATATGCATATTGCCTCTAAACAGGCAGGCACCATGCAAAAACGCACCGAAGGTGGGAGGCAGAGGAGAGAGAGACGGAGATAGTGAGGGGGAGTGAGCGTTTCCACATGCATGTGTGTGAAAACGGGAGGTAAGATACAGAGACACGAGCAGGAGAAATGCAGAGTTTTGTTTGTTTGAAATATCTGCACACTTTTAGAATGCTTCTTAGGAATTTATTTTTAACACATAAATAAATTTGGTCGAGTCCTCCCTTCGCTACGAGATCAGACCAACAAAACCTAAAGATGTTTGAAAAGACATGAAGACTACATTTCAGTGATTCAGGACCATACATCTAATTAAGAAATGTCCTCCTTTAATGTAGTTTTATCTTTTTATATTATAATTATTTATCATACTGGCCTTTCCAGAAATGTTTACATAAAGAATCACACAAGACTTAAAATAAGATGAAGTTTATTCATTAATATTATGCAAGAATAAATGTGGTGCATTTACAAGTAGTTTGATGGAGTTCTCTGGATTTGTGTGGTGAAAGTCATTCATGTGTGTGGCTCATAGTGGGCATTTTGATAAAGGTGGGCTTCATCACAAAGAGACTGTTTTTTGATGGTGTGCGGGGGGGGCGGGGGTGTTGGGGGGTGACCACTGGCCAAAATGACTTTGAAGACGGTGGCATAGTTCCAACAACTCTAACACTCTGTGTGTTATACTGTATAAAAATATTATTTCCTATTTTTTGTTTTTTTGGGGGGGGCTGTTAAAAATCAGTCATACATCAAGGAGCAAACACTAAATAATGGAGGTGCTGTGGATTTACATCACATTTACATATACAATTTAGAAATCTTAATTATTTTTGTGCAATTATTATGATTTGCATAAACTTATAATTGCCTTGAATATTTAGCTCATGGTCATAAATTGTCAAAATGTGCTGGACATTACTACAGCAACACAAAACAGAAGGAACAGTGACATCAACATTTCAACTATACTTTATAATAATACACTTCAGTAATATGACTGCGTTTATTCTGTATGGTTTGTTAAAAGACAAACAAGTCTAACTCAAAGAGTTAAGGCCAAAGTTTTAAGCACCCATGCTCTGTGCAGCACTCAGTGTGTGTGTTATAGTGACTCAGTTATAGTCATTTTTGTCTTTTCTAAGCTCAGTTGTCTTTCATGGATATCATAAACTGGGTTAACTTCAAAACCTAAATAGTTGTAGATATCCAATCATTGTTTTTAATTTTATAGAACAATAACATGGACAGACAATCACAAAAAAAAAAAAAAAACGACCCCGTCCCCTCCCCACCCCAGTGGCAGGCAAATAAAACATTAGAGACACAAAGATAGAAACAGAAACACTTTGAACTGACTTTTATTTTTTGCTTTTTTAAATTGTTAACAAAAGCTGCAAAACTCCATAAAGTATGTCGTCTTTTCCTCCCTTTATTTTTTTCCGATGGCAAAAAAGAGCAATGTGATTGACAACATGTGCACATTAATAACTCCAGGTGAGTGTCTGTCTGAACAGTGAGGAAGGTGAATGCTGGCGTGTATCTATACTGCAGCATGATGGTGTTTCAGCTCAGCCTCTGTCAGAACATCACACAAAATGTTGGTTTTAACTGTGATGAAGGTAGAGGGGCTCTGACTCATTACCACACACTCACTACCACCCCCCAGTGGTGAGTGATGGCAGCAAGACACAAAATGTGTTTACTGGATACTATAATCATGTAACTGAGCATCAGTTTAAACATGATTAGGAGCAGAAGAGACAAAACGAGGAATCAGATGTTTGCACCGACCACTCTCCAGATTCGAAAAGAAGGGATGTCGTAAGAAAGTATGACATGCCCCTCCAGATTTCTAATCTCTGTCTTCTTTTCTTCTTAAATTGCCTATATTAGTTCCCTTTTTTTAGACATCTCCCGTTTTCTTTTCTCCACACCACGCTGACCAACAAACTGAGAGGAAATCATTTGCAATGCTCTGACGCTGCAGCACAAAGACAGAGGAGGGAGAGGCCGGCGCTCGCCTCAAGCCAAACTGACACAAAAAGACAACTTCAAAGTGAAGACTGTTGTTTATTTGGTAAAGGGGAAAGAGAAAATTTATCTGATATGCAACTGTCAGGAGAGCATTTTCACATGTAAAATAGGGAGGGAGTGAGAGAGATTACCTAGAGGGGGAAACATGACAGCATTCACTAGGGTCAGGATGGATCATCATCTTCAGTCCCTCACGCTCCTCCGCCTCCCTCTTTTTTCCCCTCCCAACATCGCTCTAACTTTATCTTCTCGTTTCCCCTCCCTCCTTCCTTCCGTTTTTCCCCAGCTCTCCTCTTTCCTCTCTCATCCTGTTTTCAGACTCCATCACTCTGCACTTCGACAACCCGGCAGCTTAAATCCAGACTAAATTAGCTGAATGAAGATTAAATCATTTGGCCCTGAGCTCTCCAAGATATTGGGAGGAAGACTGAGTGAGCCTTAAATGGTGTCTGACTGGGTTTGGACCTGTATATGTGTGTCTGAGGAGAGCCTCTTCCTTCAGTGGCAGTCAATTGAAACCTGATTAAAGGGTTAAAAAATGGGCAAAAGATTACATTTCTGGGACAAGTGTTTCCTGGGTAAAGTCTCCGGCTTCGTTAGTTTTCGTTTGCGGGCACCGTGTTGACCGATGACAAGCTTGTTCCCAGTGTAAGATATCGAGTAGGGCAACATCATAGCTTACTGTGCAGGGAGAAGTGCTTTAGGAAGTAATGTAGTCTGTAGAAACTCAGATCAGTTTTTATGACCCCTGCACGTGAAGCGRGGCTCATTTTGTTTCCGTGCTGTTTATTCATCTTTTTAAATTTCATTTGTTTCAAGATTTTTGGTCAACTGTAGCACGGAAACAGCTGCACCAATCAACATGAAATTTGGCAGGAATGTAGATGAGCCTGACCTACACTGTGTCAGTCAACAATTTTACAATAAACCCCATATTTGGGGAGGGGGCTCCATCTAAAAATGGGGTGTCTGGACATACAAAAAAAAAAAACAACAACTTATAAATCAAAAACTATTTCAAAATAAGTGCTTCAGATTTTTTTTTTAGCTCTGATGAAGGGTTATCCATTGGGCCCACCCTCCCAAGCTTCCACCCAAAACAATACATTTGTTCTCATGATTCTGAGTTCTGGTGGTGCTTTGCGTATGTGCAGGGGTCATATATGCTACAGCTAGGCGGTATCTAGTTTAACAAACAAATGACCAGACATCATTCAAATAACAAGCAGACAAGAAGAACAGGAAAAAAATGGGGAAACTCTCAGGAGAGCATCCAAACAAAGCAGTGTGTTAAAGGGAAAGAGCCTGAGTTACAGCTTCTGGAAAGCTGTGG